TCATTGGAACACGAATAAAAAAATGTTTGTATCGGAAAGAGCATTTTACTCTTTAAATTAGATTTTTTGCGAAGCCTTATCATTAAGTATTCGGGATCGAAAGTTCAGAAGTAAACAAGTACATGAACTCTATTTTTGGTATCAAGTTGCTAAATGCAGATAGGACGATGACCTGAAAGCCGTCGTTAGTGCAAAGAGAACAATTAGACATGTCAATGCCATTTACGTTATAAATGCTCCAATTAATGTCTGCTTTTGCCTTTAAATGCGTACAGTCACGTGCAAATTTGCAAACGGGCTTAGATGCTAGCACAACAAACTAGGTCTCACATATTTTCGACTGTATAGTTAATACCTAACGTGGTAGGCTGAGATACCTAGTGTTTACATTTTACAGAGATTATTAATTAGTGGAATAGTAATAGAACCAGCCTAACCACCCTAGCGTTGAATACGCTAATACATCCTCCGAATGATCTACGAATATAAATATCCTTTTCAGTCGACAAGACACTAGAATTAGTCGTGATTTGTCTTTAAAGAGTCAGAAGCCATACGTCACAAATTACATTAACATATTATTCAAACCAATAACCGTACTGTTGAAGCCATGCTGGCCCAATGAGCTGACGCTTGCTTTTAATTCAATGTTAGCTGAAGTCCAAGTCAATGTTAGCGGTTACAGTGCCTATACCAATGAAATTCAAATAACAACATGAAAATAAGACCTACACTTTGTAGCTATTTACGGAAGCATTGCAAAATTGTGTATTGCATTGATTTCCTTAATTTAATATTCCGGGTCTCTTCAAGAATAAAATAAATATGTGTATTTACATAACATTCTTCTGTGAAAACATTTTCATTGAAATTATTTAATGAAAAGCTAACATATATGCGAAGTCTGTTTTCTTTACAATATCCGCTCGAGTCTTTGGAGTCCGTCGATTACTCTGCGGCAGTTGTAGCCAGTGGGCTGATTGACATTGGCAAAAACATATTGATTCCAATCGATCTACTAGAATCCTGGTCATAACGCCAGGCCACGTAACAAATCAATAATATTTTAACCACCTTAAAGCTTTAATTGCAAATACTTATTTTACGTAACAGATATTAAATTTTATCAGAATTTTATTTTATGTATATATGAGCTAGCAAAACGATACTTGGTAAACGTTACTGTTTATTTTTTACCTGCATAAAACGTAAAAGATTTTTGTGTGAGCAATTTTCACACAATATGAGAGCATATTGAATGTGATATTTTTATATGCACGATTCACACAATTTGACGCCGTGAAAATCAATAATTGTAATCGTATACATTGAAATAATATCACAAATTCTAAAAAAATCTTGTGTATGTGTGTGTGTGTATTTGCCACATTTGTAAAGTTCTGAGGCCCTCTAAGTGGAACGTCGACATCATAAGAGTCGCGGGCAACCGGTGGAGGCAAATGGCAAAGTGTCGTTCGTTGTTGCGTTCTAAGGGAGGCCTATGTTCAACAGTGGACGTCTTACGGCTGATGATACAGAGCTGAAGTAGCTTAAACGCTTGAATTGGCCAAAATGAATTTGTTCATCCTATAAAAATAAACTGTACGTTACTACATTTAAAAAAGAATCACACAGCCTAGGCAGTGCGTAAATACAGTATCTACTTATTGATATGAGAACACGGAAAATTGAAGTCCCACAGAAATACCTATAAAAGTGGATTTAAATTTAAGCTAGTCAAATAAAAGGAAGAATATGAATTGATAAAAATTCCAACTTCGATCACATTTACGCTTGTGATACTTTAAGATCATCGAGAAAACTAGTTTTATTTGTACTTACATCTAGTCTCTGCAATAACCGTATAGAGTTGTACAGTTGGTATCGTATTACAGCGGCATAGCAGCAGTCTTGCCACACTGCGAATGTAGTTTAGGCCTTCGTCAAATTGCGGATCGAACAGTGACCGCAAACATAAATTTAAACATCAAAGTTTGACATAAGTCGACACATTATACTTAAGGATATTAATGTATTATGTTTGCAGATATCAAAGAGTCGTTCTAGTCAATGCAGGCATTGTTTGTGAACTTCAAAGATAGTTAGTGATACATAGCGGCAATTGCCAAACACAACACAGACGTAACATAAACTATTGGTAAATCGCACCATACTTTTATTACCCACTACTCTATTCATACCGCCTTTTTATCCCTTATCTTAATCTATTCGACGACATCGGAAAGAGGCATAAAAATAAACAATAAAATTATTGACTCTAGCCGGGGTTAACTATGACATCAAGACGTGTAACAACTAACACCCAGTTTCCGAAAGCGCGATCAATTTTAATTTACGATAAATCTCTTGTCAATCGTTGTTTAACATGATTTGAGTTGCTAGAACGTCTTAAATAACATTGATTTTGATTTGCAATTAGTCACTGATTAACGGACAATCAACAGAAAATCGAGTTTCTGAAAGCGTTTTTCGATGGTCAACGAGCTGTCAAAAGTTTTATTAAGTAATCTGTCAATTTGGACGATCAATCGTTGGTTAAAAACTTTATCTATCAAAAATCTTAGTTTTTATTAAAAATAAACATAATTCTCTAATACGTTGTTAGGACATTCATGCGTTCTATTACATATTTATTATTTATTATTATGCGAACATATCATGTGATTAGAATAAATACAAAATGCAGTCCAAAAGTTAATAAATAATATGGATTCTTTCTTTTTATAATACTTACTTGTTTATTGTCGATAAAAGTTCATTTTTTTCACGTTCTGTAAAGTTTTTTTTTGACATTTTGCATGTATTTATATAAATTAAATATTATAGCTCGGATTTTTACGTTGGCAATCACACGGTGACAGGACTGGATAGTGACGTTAATTTAAGTTTTGTTTAAAAAGGGACAGCTATACAATAGAAAGAGTAAGTTGAAGTAAATCATTCATTTCATTCATTATCATTGGTTATACAGTGATTAGCTAATTTTTCTTGAACAAACCTTCCAGAAACCCAAGGCAGTTTAACAAGAGATTAACAGCTGATCATTTTTGACATAGTGTTATGTGATTGCTGCTTTGATTGGCCTTTCGGAAACTGGGCATTAGTCTGTTCGGTAATCATGAACGCTGGAAAGGGTTTACGTGAGGTAAAAGGTGGCAAAAAAGGTTAAAATGTTGGAACGCAACTGAAACCTTACCCTTTATAGTAAACGGCTTGATGATTTGTAAGAGAGTTAACTGTGGGACAGTTAAATGAAATGTTTGGTAGTAGTTAGGTCATTCAATAACACTTTTAATTATATTTGGAGATTCCAAGCTCTCTTCGACTTTCCAGAGAAGTTAATAATATAACGCGGAACAAAATTTATATTTTATCCTCGTGACAAAAGTAGAGTGAATCTTTTCTATTAGTTTTAAGTATATGTGAAGAGTAATGTGGATTCCAGACAGTTGATGCACACTCCAATTGAGACGTGACAAGTGAATTACATTCATAAATATGAAGTGTCAAACAAAACCGTTTACCTATAATAAGTCATCACAAGAAGAACTCATTTAATAGCAAAAAACATAAGTACTATCGAATACAATGACATGTCGTCACTAACAAACAATCGTACATTAGCATACTTTTTAAACAATAACAAAAGAGTAGACTGCTCGCACCAATAAAATGTTTTAGGCTGTTCAAATTCGAAACATAATTCATTTGAGAATTCAAAGCTCGTTAACGATTACAATGAACAATAAAAGAGTACGCATAAAATATTCGATAATTTGCATAATTTTCATCTATTCTTTATTTATTTGTTCACTTAGGATAAGTAAGTAAGAACAGTCTTTATACATGTTTATGTTTATAAATAGCCTATATACGTACCACTGTTGGGCAAAGGCCTCCTCTGTATTGTATTAGGGCATAGTCCGCCACGCGGCCACACTGCGGGTTGGAAAACTTCACATATCTTCGATAATTTATTTTGTTATGATTTCAAAAATATGCAGGTTTCCTAACGTTGTTTTTCTTCACCGTTAAGCTCGTTATAAGTCACCGGTTAAAATTAACACTAAGCACTAAGCACATTTGGTGCCGTCACCGGCACTTGGATTGAGTTTTCTATCACGGCACAAGACTTAACATCACATGTGCGTTATAAAAGAATGGTGAGCCGAGTTAATCGGATGTGTAAATGAACCAAACCTTCCTTTCTTCTCTTAATAAGGAATCACGAAGCAATACGATCACTGAGAAAGAACTTCTGCACCGTGGGGAGGTTTTCCAAATATCAAAAGCAAATAAATCTGACCATTAAATTATATCTTCTGATATTGTACAAGTTTGTATTGTTTATAAGACACATATATGTACAAACACACAACTTGCATCAATGGTCTGTCTATCAATTGACTTATTGTGAATATTGAATTTTTATGCTTCGTTTACGGTAGTTCACACCTCATGAGAAGTAAAAGATTTAAGAGCTTGTTGTTGAGGTTTCATAACCAACTTTAAACGAGATCTTCTAATTTAACTATAGTTATCATTCCGTTTACAATGAAATAAAACCATTGCACTTAATTTAATTTAATGCTTTAAAGAGATGCTTTAAAGAATGGTGGTAGAGCCACGCAGCAGCCTCGGCTGTTGCACGAATGGGCAGGCTCGTCCGGGTAAGTACCACGACCTCACAGAAGACCGGCGTAAAGTGGAAGTATGACAAATACTTTCGCTTTCGTTGGTGAGTGAGGTAGCCGGAATCCAATTTCCAAAAAGGTTGTCAACGCATCTGCACCCTTTAGCAGATGTCTATGGGCGGCGGTATTCACTTAACAACAGGTGAACCGTCTGCTCGTTTGGCAACTTTTCACAAAAAAAAAAAAAAAAAAATTTGTATATGGACATCAGTTTAACCACTAAATGCTACTAACAGTTTTAAAGAAGTAGAATTTTTATAACAGAATTTTTTTCTTTTGTTACAGTCATGGCCATATTTTCTAATATTCATGGTTCTGGAGCACATAGTTTTGAGATTGAAGGGGCATAAAGGAATTCGTCTGAACGACGGAATCACCAGTATTTCCCACGGCATCTTCCAAGAATGCGGCAGGTAATTCTATAAAACATTTTATTGGTCGGTAACGGAAGTACTTAATAAAATTCTTTAATCGATATTAATGTCACTATGAATTTCTTTACATAGTTTAAAATATCTTAAAACTAGCGAGTCGCCTCGACTTCGCACGGGTGCAATGTAATATACATAAACCTTCCTCTCGAATCACTAATATCTACTATCTAATAAAAACAACGCATCAAGATCCGTTGCGTACTTTTAAAGATCGAAGCATACATATGGACAGACACCGGGACGACTTTATTTTATACTATGTAGTGAGGATTTTGCTGTTTTGTTTTTTCGATGTTGCGTCTTACAGATTAATGTGTTGTTCCTTGAATTTGATTTATACTAAAACTCAATGAACTATTATAGATTGGTTTGGCGCGGAGCAGAATCTTACTTTTATATGTGGATATATACGAACTACAGAATAGTCGATTTGCCTTGGGATAACACTCTCACGTGGTACGCAGCAGCAATAGGTGTGGATTTCTGCTATTACTGGATGCATAGGGCATGTCACGGTAAGTTCTTACATTGTCTTGTAAATTTTATAATCCAACTAGCTGTCCCGGCAAACATCTGCATTGTTCTGCCATATAAATTATTTCTAGATGATTTCAGTAGAACTACAAAAAAGTCGTTTAGCCTTGGGATAACCCTGGTACGCAACATTTAGGGGGATTTTGAAACATAGATGTTGTCCGATTCTGCCACCCTAATCCAATTTTATGACGTAACAATTTCACAAAAATCGGTCGAGCCGTTTCGGAGGAGTTCAATTACAAACACCGTGACACGAGAATTTTATATATTATATATTATGACCGCAACCTTATATATGGTTACAGTATAATGACAACATTTGAACTATTTCTCGATTGAACTAAATAAATATTGAAAATGAAAACATTACATTTAAGAGTAAAGCAAACATTTAATCTATAAAACATAAGCTAAGCATATATTAAATACTCTGATACTTCAAAAAGTGTAAAATTGAGTAGTTTTAATACGTGAATCAATGCTTTAATGTCATTATAATCTAAGATTCTGTCAATATATGTTGACTACACATGGTGGCTACTCAAGATTACAAAAGTAATTGTCTCGTAGTATTTAAACTCACGCACTTTTGAATACGGGCCAATATTTTTTGCTGTTGCTATTGAATGGTGATAAAAACGAATTATTATAAAAAAGAAGGGAGGGAACAAATATGAACATTATCATTAAACACTCTAATGATATGTTTTTGCGTTCAATTTTTAATTAACTCATTTATTGCAGAGGTTCACATTTTATGGGCACAGCATCAAGTCCACCACACCTCGGAAGATTTTAACATGGGCGTTGGCATAAGGCAGTCTGTTATTCAAGGGTGGTGTGGATTTGTAAGTGGTTATTAATACAATACCCTCCAATAATATGTAACACTGAAAGAAAGAGGAGTATGCTTGATATAAAAAAAAGTAAAGAAACAGCCAATACATGTCCCACTGCTGGGCAAAGGCCTCCTCTATACAGAGGGTATCAGGGCATAGTCCACCACGCGGCCCCAGTGCAGATTGGCGGACTTCACATATTTTCGAAATATATTTTTTTTGTTATTATTTCGAAAATATGCAGGTTTCCTCACGATGTTTTCCTTCACCGGGGAGCACGTGATAAGTCAGCACTTAAAGTTAAAAACTTCATTGGTGCCGGCACCGGGGATCGAACTCAGGTTGCTCGAGTATATTGAATTAAAGGCGAGCGCCCGGACACTGAGCTATCACGGCTCATGCTATACTTGGTATATCGATTATTTTTTTTTATATGAGAAGGAGGCAAGAGATTTAGCGGTTCACCTGTGAGCCACCACCCATGAATTTGCAACACCCTTAGGGTTGCAGATGCATTGCCGCCTTACAATAAAGTGGGCCACGATTACTTCGCACACGAGACGAAACACAGTACGAAAAGTATAACACTTCCACTTAACGGCGGTTTCGTAAGGTCCTGGTGCTTACCCAGACGGACCTGCCCATTCGTGCAACAGACGAAGCTGTTGTGTGGCGCTACTGCAAGAAGAAAATTACTGAACATAACCAAACTAAAAAATATGATTATAATTCGTATGGAATTTATCATATTTTTAAATTTACCACACGGAATTGTTAATATGATGATATTTCAACAGATATTCTACTTACCGCTCGCCCTTGCCATCCCACCGGCCCAGTTTGTGATGCACCATCAGTTCAGCTACCTCTACATGTTCTGGATTCACACCGAGGCCATCAAGAGTCTCGGCCCGCTTGAGTACATACTCAATACGCCCAGCCATCACAGAGTGCATCACGGTGAGCAACTAAACTAATGAACACCGTTATCGTTATTAAAATGATGAGTTGAGAGACTCCTTGATTAACCTGACAATGCTGTGGTGTCAAATAATTGACCCATAGCTAACTTAACAAAAACAAAAAACCTTATCGCTTGATATTAGTTTTATTGCTCTCTTTAAGTTTTTGGTAATTTTGACCATTAAATAAAAAATATATAAATTGCTTAAAGTGTAAGGTATTGAAACTGTATTAAGTTCATTCGTTATTATTTATAACTATTTTGTAGATGAAGAGTGAATGAATAAACAATACGTGTTGTAATGTTCACTTATAACCACCCTTAAGGAATATGAGTTAGAAATCTAAGAGGATTTTCTATTACAGGGAGCAACAAATATTGTCTGGACGTAAACTACGGCGGTGTGCTCATTATATGGGACAGAATTTTTGGAACCTTCAGACCTGAGATTGACAAGATACAAATTGTATACGGTCTCATTTACAACCAGCCATCATTCAACCCACTGTACTTGCAGGTAATTATAGAAGTTATAACATTATTGCATTCAGTGCATTCGGAGTCAGTTTTATTTAAATGAAATCTAACGCTTAATCCCAAAGCTAGTAATATGTTACTTTATTAATACGAATACTATTGTCTGGTAAAATTCGATTAAAACAGCGAAAGCCATTGACCAGGTGGCTCTTCTTTCCCTACCCGGTAGTAGCATTTTGACAATCATTAAGTTAGTGTAGTGTTAGTTAGTGTAGTGTAAGTTAGTGTAGTGTAAGTTAGTGTAGTGTAAGTTAGTGCTATTTTGAATAAAGATATTGGAATTTTAATTTATTTACGAATGTTTTTTTTCAGTCCTTCTACACGGGATACGTGGTGGATAAATTCAAACGTTTTGAAACGGTGGGTGATAAATTCAGGGCTATATTTTGGGGCCCCAGCTGGGAGCCGGGGACCGCTAGACTTGGCGATGAAGATCAAAAAATTGACGTACGTATTGCATTACACTTTATTATATCTCACTTGATAGTCAATGCAAGCCTCATTTTAGCAAGCATTATGTGTATGATACTTACTGAAAGGAACGGGGAGAATTTTCCACTTCTAAAAAAATGCTAACATTAAAAATGCCTTCGAGATCAAAGGAGACTTTTTGAAAAAAAACTGTAAAAAAAAGCTATCGCTTGCTAGAGTTAAAAAAATTGCAAAACATAAACATGAGAGTATACATATAAATACAAATGCGCTCGTAGCGTATGGAGTTAATATCACTATTTAGCCGCTATAATTATAAGTTTAATAGTTTAAGATTATATAACAAGTATTCACTTATAAGATCCACGACGGATCTAAAAAAGGCATCGAAGCTGCAAAAAGCAGCAACAAATCAGCCAACGGCGTAGCACTAGCAGACTGGCCATGGCATATTCTTGATAAGGTCTTTTAGATAAGGTAATACAAAATAAGTCAAAGCTATAAAAGAGAGTCTTGCACAAATGCATTAATATTTACTTACGATTTAAGAGATAGCCCATAGCTTAGTAATAGAGTCATCATTAAGTCACAAGTACTAAATTTGTTTTTATATTGCCGTATATGTATAATAAATAGTCGCGACTTTGTCCATCAGTGTACCTAATGAACCTAAATGTAGTGTCCCAAGACAGTTTACATAATCAATAGCCTTAGTGATAATTGTTTGTATGCCTTTTTCAGATCGAAATACGAGATAAATATGACGTGCATCTTCCAGCGTGGTGTAATCTTTATTTGGTTGCCCATTACGCTATCGTTTTCTATGGATTCTTTGACCTGACTGGTAGATATATGGTAAGTTTAACGACACAGTAAATATTTGTAGTTTGTAATAGAATATTTTCCACGAAAATATATATCTAATAATATTTAATTAACACTACTAATGTAATGCAACATGATGATAATGTGAGCTTAACGATGATATAGTAGTCTCTGTTCTACATTGGGATACTTTAACTTCTAGTCACACTAAGCTGTATCAATCTGTTATCCTAAAATAATTTATGTTGAAATCTTATTAAATCAATGTTGTGAAATGAAAGTATGGATTTTATCGCGTTTAATTAGATTTTTAAATTCCTAACGTTTCAAACCCTTTCCAGCATTCATGACCAACGGACAGACTGACAATATGTAATATTCGCGTGAATACAAGAAATCAATAAACTAAATATCGCCTTAATTTTTTTATGTGAGAAAGTGGCAAACGAGCTTGTGGTTCACCTCATGTTAAGTGATAACTGCCGCCCATTGTCAACACTGTCACATTGTCAACACCCGTAGGGTTGCAAATGCGTTGCCACCTTTAGAGTAATAAAGTGGGCCCCGGCTACCTCACTCACCAGACGAAACGCAGAAGTATAACACTTCTACTTTACGCCGGTCTTCTGTGAGGTCGTGGTACTAACCCGGACGGACCTACCCATTCGTGCAACAGTGAACACTGTTGGGTGGCCCTACCACCGTAAAAATTTTACTTCTCAAGCTGTAATCGAAATTATACATTCTGAACTTGTCTGTTATGTTAATTTGCAGGGCATGACGCCGATTTCTGTTCTCATCTTCGTGTTTTACATCATCGCGTCCCTCACTATCATCGGTATGCTCTTCGACAACTCCAATTGCGCGCCACTCCTGGAAGTGATACGCTGCTCCGTACTGGCTTTCTTCACCAGGAGCATCACTGCCACAAACCCTGGATTGGGTACCTCGCTGCAGCTCCTCTACGTGGCATCAGCTATGTTCTGGTGCATGCACACTCTGAAATTACTCGAGATTAAAAAGTCTAAAGTAGAGTAATGCGGCTAGTCTTTAAAATTGTTCTTACCAAAAATTAAACGATTAGTGTATTATGTAACTTAGGTGATGTGATGAGGGGGTTTCTAGAGTTGTCTGTTAGAAGTTTAGTGGTAGCCTTGCTTATATCAGCAGGTTGTTTAATAAATTCGAGCCAAAGGCATTATGTGAATTTAGTTAGTAAGTTTTATTATACTAAGCACTGTCCTTGAGTTATATCTTTGTACTTACTATTGTGTTCAATCAAATGCCCTTTAAAGATATGTGGAAAATTGATTAATCGTGTGATCTATGTTCAATTCTTATGAATATTTAACATAAATATTCTAGATTTATTTGTATAAATGTATGAGATATGATAAAAACAAAATTGGTGTTTGTTCCCAGAGTTAGATGTGAATTATTGTTTAAATTACCTTATTCATAAGTATGATAAATATAAAATCTAATTAGAAATAGATGAAAAGTGCCAAGGAAATTAATTTTTAAGAACGATTTAATTTATTTTGCATTGTTTTCTTTAGAAAATAAAAATTGTTAGCATGTGAAAGATGTTTATTTTTAAAATGTTATAAATATTCATATTCAATCCTGATAAATGAGCTCAATTTGAAAAAGCTTTCGATATTCATTAGTGAATGGTAAGTTATTGGCACGCTATTGGAAATAAAATAAATCTTTCTACAATATATCAGTGGGATGTGTCAACGATCTTAGAGCCATCATGCCTGACGTTTTGGGCTGAATGACACTTATAAAGAAGCGCCCATTTAACTCGTAACCCTATCAGAAATTAAATAATTCGAGCTTTTATACAAACTTTTAGCCCACCCGGGATGCCATACTTGCCACGAATGGCGAGCGGGTTGGAACCACAAGTTTTTTTGTTGAGTGACGACCTGTGCAAATGTAGGCGAAGTCGATGGATGGCTTAGGATCAAGGAGTTCAAGTACACACGCTGAAATGATGATGACGGTTTTATACATGCATTGATTACATAACTATTGAATACTTAGAAACTTGTAAATATTTAATAATATCTTACTTCCCGTGGCTATACAAAAGTTTAAAATAAAATATCCGGCCTAGTAAACAACATGTCACGGTGAATGCTGTGTTAATTAATTCTATTTCGGAGGTATAGTGCTCTCTAACATGTCGTATACGTTAACTATGTATGTTTCGTGGCTGAGTGGAAAGTAAGTTTCATACTAACATTCATGTATGTGTAGATACAACCTTCAGCACGTTCGGTTGTAATCCTAAAGGGTAGGTAGAGATGACAAATATCTACTTTCACATTCATGTAGTCTTTTAAATTCTGTATTTTGTTGGTAAGTCGACTTCTCGCGCATCTCACACTAAAATGGAGTTATGTCTCTTCGGATCGTAATTTGTAAAAGTATCCTATTTTTGTCGATGTTTAATTTAGGTACCGAAGGAAAGCGAACTGTTAAATTAAAAGATTCTTTCTTTTATTGTACTATCCAGTGAGGGTTCCGTACCCAGAGGGTAAAACGGAACCCTATTACTAAGACTTCGCTGTCTGACTGTCTGTCCGCCTGTACGCCAGGCTGTATCTCATGAACCGTGATAGTTAGACGGTTGAAATTTTCACAGATGATGTGTTTCTGTTGGCGCTATAACAAAATAAATATATTTAAGTGGGGCTCTCATAAAACAGTCATATTTTTTTGCAAATTTTATACATAATGGTACCTTAGTGCGCGAGTGCGACTCGCACAAAGCCGGTTTTCTTCAATCAATATACTTACATCACCGAAAACTATATCTGTAGACGCTATTAAACAAATTATTAAAAGGAATTCAAATGGTAAGAGGGGAATGGAAATAATAATGGCAGTTCCTGTCATAATTATTTATTTATTTATTTAAAGTACAACCACATCATATATATTGGACATTTACATAGTTGATTTGATTATAAAAACTTATTGCTGATACATATGAAAATGACGGTGTACATAACATTGACAACATATGAAATAAAAAAGTGGGTGTTAGTAATATGAATATACGTAAAAAATATAGAAAATGTTTACAAATAGAATTAATGACTAACATACAGTTTTGTAAGCAGCTGTTTAAATTTATTCAGACTGCAATTAAATATATCCACATCGGTTATTTGTTTAACTAAGTAGTTGTATTCTCTAATTAATCTAACTTGAGGGGATTGTAGGCCAAGGTTTGTTTTTGTAACTGGAATGTGAAACAAATTACCAGTTTTCCGTCTATTTGTTCGTGGGACAGAGAAGGAGAGACTTTCGAGGAAGCTACTGCATTTAATTTTGCCATGAAGTAATCGATGTAGGAAACACATATCGATTATTCGTCTTCGGCTATTAAGGGAAGTCATCTTATAGTGTGAAAGTCTTTGGTGGTATGGATTTCGATGTGACAAACCACTCGTAAGAAAAGCTATAAATCGTGTGAAAGTACGTTGAATATTCTCAATTCGTTGCGATTCAATAGCGTAAAAAGGATTCCAACTAACACTAGCATATTCGAGATGACTGCGTACGAGAGCATTGTATAAAATAAATTTTGTCCGTAGAAGTCTAAAATGCTTAGTGTTGCGTTTAATAAATCCGAGCATCTTAGCTGCTTTAGTGACTATGTTATTAATATGTGATGTAAATTTTAATTTAGCGTCAATAGTTACACCAAGATCACGGACTTCATTAACTTCTTTTATAGTCACGCTGCCAATCTCGTACTTAGTGACAATCGGTTTTTTCTTCCTAGAGTACTTTATATGGTAACATTTATTTATATTGAGGGTCATATGGTTTTCTCTACACCAATTTTCAATTGCATTAAGATCTCTTTGGATGAGGTAAGAGTCAGCGCTGGACGTTACAGTGCGATAAATTTTTAAGTCATCGGCGAACATGGACGTTTTACAATGTTTGATTCGGCTGGAGAGGTCGGTAATAAATATTAGAAAGAGCAAGGGACCTAAATGAGAGCCTTGGGGAACACCACTTGTAGAGTAGAATACGTCCGATTCAAAGCCATTAACACTGACAACTTGCGGGCGCTTCTCTAGGTAGGATTTTAACCAATTTAACACATTACCCCCCACACCAAAAGTTTCAAGTTTTTTAATAAGAATGTTGTGGTGAACTTTATCAAAGGCACTGATGAAGTCGGTATAAATAGCATCGACTTGACGACCTTTATCTATTTCTAGGGATAATTCAGAAATAAAAGGAACTAGATTAGTCTGGGTTGAATGACCTTCTCTAAAACCATGTTGACAATCTGAGAGGTTAATATCTATAAATTTAAAAATCGAAGGGTAAATTAATGATTCAAACAATTTTGAAAAACAGGACAATATCGATATAGGGCGGTAATTTTTGACGTTAGTACGATCACCTTTTTTAAAGACAGGGAGTATCCGAGCCTTTTTCCATTCCGTTGGGAATTCACCTTTCTCTATGGAACGATTAAAGATGAGTGTGAGTGGAAGAGCAAGAAAGTTACCACAGCGTTTTATAAGAGCGGGAGGAATGGAATCTGGACCAGCACCTTTTGTCGAGTCTTTTTATGTGGCGTAAAATCTCACTCTCACTAAATTTGAGATTGCATAAAGACTGTGACGTCACTACTTGTTCAGCAGACAAAAGCTGAGGTGAGATATTATGCCTATTGAAATTAGAGGAGAAATGATTTGCGAATAAATTTACGATTTCTGTCCCACACTGAGCTGTTACTTCCTTCAGATGTACTTTATCTGGCATAGACGAATAACTGCCACGCTTGTTTTTTATGTAGTTCCACAAGAGTTTGGGGTTTTTTGCAAGGTTATTTTCAATTGTTTGAGTATAAAGTTTATTACATTTATCGTATAGTTTATGGCAACGGTCTCTTAGGATATGAAATTCATTTCCCACTCTCAGTCAACAAACACTTTAATCTACCTTTGTTCGAGCTTTTGATTAACAATTTCTTGTAACACAAGAAAATTGTAATTGTTCTTTTCTCTATGGAAACCGATATCGCAATTTCGCTGACGACGCTTTGGGACCGTAGTTATGCAGAGTTTGGCATTTTCCCCTCAAGATATATGAGCGCAGCGAAATGAGAAAATTTACGCACATCTGTTACAGAATGCTTAGTCAGATTTTGAAGTTATACTTCTTTTGGTGCGTTAGGGAAAAATGATGAGAGTAAGTTTTAACGATGCGATTGCACACGATCACGAAAAACGGTCACGAAAAACCGACACCCTGAAGTTAGCTAGACATCTACGTATGTTTACGTGAGAACTGACAACTATATACACGATATATATTTTGTGATATTTAAATAAACTTTATTTAACTAGATAATGTGTGATAATGTGTAAATACTAAAACTTTTAATGTATTAAACACCTTTTTTCTATTGTTAGTGTCGTTTTTTCTACAAACGTAAAATAAGGCAAAAGATAAATTTTTTGAAAAGATTTTTATCTTGTTATGCTAAAGAAGTATAACTTCAAACGCATGTACATAAGTACACACACTTTTTTTTATATCGCATCTCTTGAAAAATATAGTCTGAACCTAATATGTTAAAATAGGTAACATGATTATTGAGATACAATAATGTGTGGAAAAAATAATTGGTAATTGAGAAAAATTGGGCCTAGTTATCATCCACAATGAAAGCTCAGAATCGTTGACCCAATAAAGTGTAAAGAGATAGAAAAATTAGTGTATTCCACGTTTAATCGATTTTATTATTAACAACATCAATAATAAAAAGGGGCAAAAATAAAATTTGCTTCAATTATTTATTTTTAATAAAAGGCTAATAAATATTAATGCTTTCGCCATATCAATTCAAGTCTATCAGTAATAGTACGAAACAAACATTTTTTTATTCAAAATTCTGGTGGTATGAATGATTTTCTGCTCTTTTGATAAATTGGCTTGTTTGGTTAACTCTTTACATTGTTCTAGTAGCAGCGGGAATATGCAATCTA